CCTTCCTCAAAATTTTCCAAATTCCCAGATAGGGGTGGAGGTGATCATTACTGACTTTCTGGCTTTGGTTTTTCCTTTGGTTCCACTTATGCTGCTTCTGTTCAACAACACTTTGACCCAGATGTGAAACACAGTCATTCTTCAGTTTCCTCCAAAGACCTCACCCACACAGAGCATTTGTGAGCCTAGTAAACTTCCCTGCTCAGTTAGGGGTCAAGAGGAAGATTCACATCACACCATACAACACGTAACTTAAAGCCCCTCGTTAGTCATAACCTCTGTATTCTTAAAAGTCCTTGAACTCAGCTGTCACCAGCGTTTTTCACTGGCTTTTCACTCAAGTGGTTTCCAGCCTCCTAATATCATGCTGGCTTCTCCCTTCCTCATCTCCCTGTACTCTACTTACCTTTCATCTTCCTCTTGCAAGAGCAAAACACCAAATCCCTCCCAAGGCAGAGCAGCTTAGTCAGTCTTAGGTGGCTTGGTATCTTACCAACACCCATATTCATAGGGTCTCTACCTCTGTGTCAAGTGGCCTAACAAAATATTTTATCAAAGAAAAAAAGATCCTTTCCTAAGAAGTGTTCTAGAGCCAACGCTGTCAGGAATGTTCGGTTCCATAACCTTTTTAACCTCTTGGCCTTTTGACGTGTCATTCCTCCACCTAAATGTCTGACTCATTCTTTAGAACTCATTCCTCCAACAGCTTTTCCTCCAGAAAGGAATCTTGTTGGTCCTGCAAGGCGCCTGGGGGTATAGTACCTATCCCGGAACACTGAAATCCAAGGTCAGGTGGTAGGCAGATGCAAATTTGGGCAGAAGACACCAAGAGAGGTGGTTTACTTCTCACTTAGCTTTAATATGAGAGAGTAATCTTTTGGAGCTTATTGTGGAGATATTCTTCTTTAGATTTCTCACCTGATTTCTGTACCGCTCACCCCACAGCACCCTTAAAACAAAAATGAAATTGGCAACAATTGGCACTGCCTTAAAGGCAAAAGTGGCTCCTATGCTTGCTTATCTCTCAGGAGCCCTATTTTCCTTTTTTTCTTTTTAATTTTTTATTTAAATTCCAGTTAGTTAACATATAGTGAGTATTGGTTTCAGGAGTAGAATTCAGTGATTCACCACTTACATACAACAACCAGTGCTCATCACACCAAGTGCCCTCCCTAGTACCCATCACCCCACCCATCTAGCCCATCCCCCACCTACCTCCCTCCATCAACTCTCAGTTTGTTCTCTATCTTTAAAAGTCTTGCATGGTTTGTTTCCCCCTCTCTCTTTTTTCCTCCCTCCCATATGTTCGTGTTTCTTAAATTCTACATGAGTGAAATTATATAGTACTTGTGTTTGAATGGCTTATTTCGCTTAGCATAATATACTCTAGCTCCATCCACATCATTGCAAATGGCAAGACTTTATTCTTTTTGATGGCTGAGTAATATTCCATTGTGTGTATAGGTATGGATGTATATATATGTATATATGTATTGTGTATATGTAAGTGTATACTTACTATTTTCCCTCTTATTGAGCTCTGGTATTTCCTATCTTGTTAACAACTAGTCACTTTTAAAAAGACATTTTTCTTTTTTTTTTTTTTTCAGCGTTTTGTTTTGTTTTTAGTCTGTTTCCTTCAGGTAAATCAATAAAATCAGACAGAAATAGATTTTCAACTTCTCTAAGAAAATTTAACCCAAAAGTGTAATTGATTCCCTTTTCAAGATCTTCATGTCATTGTCTGCTCTCCAGAAAATCACCTAGTTAATAAATATTTGTTGTGCATCATATATTTGCATATTGTTGGGCATCGTATATTTGCAAGACACTATCTGTATCTTGGGGACACTGTGGTGAGTATGGCAGAGTCCTTGTCTACAATGACTTGTCCTTTTTGCTGTGCTGTGGAAACTGTGATGAATCAATGTTCTTTGTTCTCTACAACATTATACTGTTCATCTCTTAGCAACAGATGGCCAGCTTATTATAAAAGGATAAAGCTCTGAAACAGCAAGGTGGCAGAGATGCATGGGACCAGCTATGTGGAAAGGCACCCAGAGCTTCCAAGCTCTCTGACTGCACCACTCCCCACATTGCCATGTATTCATCACCGCAGAAGCTCCCTTCTCGGCACTTTTGGTTGGTGTCAGTGGGAAGGATATTCCAAATAATCTAGACTGCCATTACTGGGGACTTAAGTCGTTAAATCCTTACTGATTAGGAAGCAGATTTTTTTGTCGCATATTCTGAAGTGTTTTGTGAGGCCTTCTTCTAGGCAGACGCTTCCATTCTCTTGTCACAGGCTACAGTCCAGGAAATAAATCCAGCTCTCTGGCTTCACTCATGCATGCACTCATTCAACAGACATCCACTGAGTATGTCCTATAGTGCATGGTTACAAGAGTGAACTTGTTAGAGTCCCTGCCCTCTACTTCCTTGTTAAGAAAGAGCAGAAAAATCCATGTGAATTACCAGTTATCAAGATCAGTAAACGCTACTGGCCAATTTATGAAATTTCCACATCTCCAGCCCACTGAATGGCAAAGTTATAAGGGACAAGAAAACTTTAGCATGCATAATAGCCATTTAGAGGGCTTATTAAAACAGATTACGGGGGCCCACCTCCAGAAATTGTGATTCCTAGGTCTGAGGCAGAGCCTGAGAATTTGTATTTCTAGCAAGTTTTTAAGGAGATGTTGATGCTGCTGGTCCATGGTCCACACTTTGAGAACCACTATTAAAGGAGCTCTAGATAAAGCTTAGGAGCAAGTGCTCCTGCTCCTTTGCAGGACTCTCCCTTTTTAAAAATTGAAAGATAATCTATAGCCAAAACCATTCAATGGGGAAAGAATATTCTGTTCAACAAATGATGCTGAGCAACCGGATTTCCACATGCAGAAAAATAAAGCTGTATCTTTATTCCACACCATGTATAAAAATTAACAACAAAAAGTTTTAAAAAATTAAATCATCGATCAGAGACCTAAAGATAAGAGCTAAAACCTAAAAACTATTAAAAGAAAACAGGGGTAAACCTTCATGATCTTGGATTTGGAAGTATATTCTTAGATATGACACAAAAAGCACAAGAAAAGAAAATATTGATAAGCTGGACTTCATGAATATTAAAAACGTTTGTACCCCAAAGAACACTATCAAGAAAATAAAAAGACAACATACAGAATAGAAGAAAATACTTCCAAATCATATATCTGAGAAGGGGCTTTATCTACAAGTTTTACACCTGAATAATAAAAAGAAAGCCTGGGGTGCCTGGGTGGCTCAGTTGGTTAAGCATCCCTTTGGCTCAGGTCATGATCTCAAGGTTTGTGAGTTCGAGCCTCAACATTGGGCTCTGTGCTGACAGCTCAGAGCCTGGAGCCTGCTTCAGATTCTGTGTCTCCCTCTCTCTCTCTCTCTCTGCCCCTCCCCTGCTTGTGCTCTGTGTCTCTCTTTCTCAAAAATAAATACATGTTAAAAATATGTTTTAAATAAAAAGAAAGCCCAATTTACAAATGGCAAAGGATCTGAATAATACACAGTTCTCCAAAGAACATACACAAAATGGCCAATAAGCACATGAAAAGATGCTCAACCTCATTAGTCATAATGAAAATGCAAATCCAAACCACAAAGAGATACTACTTCACATGCACTAGGAGGGCAATATAAAAACATAGAGACCTGATAGAAAGTAGATTAGTGGTTGCTTAGGGCTAGGGCGGGGACAGGCAAGTAGGGAAATAAACGATGGCTAAAGGGCACAAGGTTTCTTTTTGAGGTGATGAATATGTTCTAAAATTATTATGATGATGGTTGTACATATTTGTGAATATACTAAAAACTATTTAATTGTACACTTTAAATGAATGAATTGTATGGTATGTAAATTATATCTCAATAAAGATATTTAAGGGGTGCCTGCGTGGCTCAGTCGGTTAAGCATCTGATTTTGGCTCAGGTCATGATCTCACATTTCGTGGGTTCAAGCCCCAAGTCGGGCTCTGTGCTGACAGCTAGCTCAAGCGAGCCTGGAGCCTGTTTCAGATTCTGTATCTCCCTCTCTCTCTCTGACCCTCCCCTGTTCATGCTGTCTCTCTCTCAGAAATAAATAAAACATTAAAAAAGATAAACATTTAATAAAAAATAAAGATATTTAAAAGAAATAAACACATGGACTACAACTGCAAACCATCATCATCATCATCATCATTATCATCTCTGTGGGCCCTCAAAAATTTAACCTCATTCCTTCAGTAATTCGATGATGTCTCAGTAACCAGTATCTATCATAACCTACCCAACACTGAGAATTCTGTGTTTTAAAAATGTAATCTAAAACTAATTTTAAAGCTACAGGAATTTTAGTTGTTTGTCTTAGTGTGTTCAGGGTGCTATAACAAAGTACCACAGGCTGGGCGTCTTCTTAGAAGCAACACTGATTTCTCACAGTTCTTTTTTTTTTTTTTAATGTTTTATTTATTTCTAGGGGAGAGAGAGAGACAACGTGAGCAGGGGAGGGTCAGAGAGAGAGGGAGTCACAGACTGAAACAGGCTCCAGGCTCTGAACTGGCAGCACAGAGCCCGACGCGGGGCCCGAACCCATGAACCGCGAGATCATGACCTAAGCGAAAGTCGGATGCTTAACCGATTAAGCCACCCAGGTGCCCCTGATTTCTCACAGTTCTGGTGGCTTGAAGTCCAGGATCATGGTGCCAGCATGGTTGCATTCTGGTAAAAGCCTTCTTCCTGGTTCGTAGCTGGCACCTTCTTGCTGTATCTTCACATGGAGGAAGGGGCTAGCAAGCTCTCTGAGGTCTCTTGTAAGAGCATTAATCCCATTCATGAAGGCTCCACTCAGTAAAGGCCCCACCTTATACCATCACATTGGGCATTAGGATTTCGACACATGAATTTTGGGGACACAGACATTCCAGCCATAGCATTCCATAGTATTCCATGTTGAAGTGATTTCAAAACTCTCTCTTTTTTCACAGGTATCAGGAATTAAGGGAGTCGCTCCAACAATGTAGACTTCCATGGGGTGCAGAAAGAGAGTATGGTGGGGTAATACCCATTTCACTCCCTGAGACGCACAGGCCAAAATGTGAACCTCCTCATGTCATGGGCAAAGGACATCAGCATTATGGATTTGGTGGAGAAACCTGGCCGAGGTAAGTAAACTTTCTGCCCTTCATATAAAGATCTTTAGTTTGCATTTTTCTTTGTTTCTATTGTATGTCTTGTTAACTTAAATCTACCTCCAAACATTTCTTTTACTGTTTATGAAAAGACACAGATGGAAAAACTAATTATATAATTTATAATTGTGAAATCAATTTAAAAAATCTGTGTTTATGGATGTCTTTGCTCTCCTTAGAGATGTTCAATTATTGTGATCAGAAATTTTGATTAATTCCTTTGCTAATCACATTTTATCTAAAACTAAATGGGAATATTCCTGTGAGACATTAAATTAAAGATGTTTTTGCTTGAGCAAATAGCTGGCCTCATTTGTACAGATGCTGTTGATTTTTGGAACTTTTGATTTCTAACTTGTTCATCAATCTGTAGTCATTAGAATCTACTGGGCACTGTTTTCAAGTAATAAAATAGTTCAGTAATCATTTGTAACTCTTAAAGTCACTCTTTCAGCAGCTTTATTCAAAACATATTAAAACTGAAAAGAAAGCAAAAAAAAAATCTGAGCAGCGGGGCGCCTGGGTGGCTTAGTCGGTTAAGCGTCNCAGGGGCGCCTGGGTGGCTTAGTCGGTTAAGTGTCCAACTTTCACTTGGGTCATGATCTCGCGGTTTGTGGGTTCGAGCCCCGCGTCGGGCTCTGTGCTGACTGACAGCTCAGAGCCTGGAGCCCATTTCGGAGTCTGTGTCTCCCTCTCTCTCTGACCCTCCCCTGCTCACGCTGTCTCTCTCTCTCTCTCTCTCCTAGAAATAAATAAAAAATATTTAAAAAAAAATCTGAGCAGCAAATTAAATGTCACATTAGCTATTTACTAAAAATATGAGATTTTAAAAAACTATGAAATTTACTCAAAGTACAATCTATCAAACCTTCCCACGGAGCCTACCTCCTCCTGCTTTACCTAACAATCCTGCTTACCTGGTTTACTAACAATCTAGCTAACTAGTTTTTCATTCTAAAGCAGTTTCAAAAAATAAATTGGGAAAGACCAGCTGCAGGTAGAAAGAGAAACAGCAACAATAATGGCATGTGGCAGCTGACGACCTTACTGAATAAAAAGCAGACAATGAAAAGGCCCTCAGTCCAATTGGAAAGATGCAAATATTGGCATATTGTAGATAGCAAGTACCTCAAGATCATGAATTCATCCAACAGATTTCTTCAAGTGCCCACTCTCATGGAACTTACTTTCTGATATGATACAGGTAGACTTATATCGTCTTTGTACAGTAGCCACACTGTTATCCTGGCCTTACAATACATGGAGACCCAGAAGATTCAGTACCTTTCCCTGGATCACGCAACTATGACATTGTGGACCAGGGACCGAAGTCCAGATTTATTGGCTCCAAAGCCCAAGTTTTTTCATCTGTCCATTCTGTTCATCATTTACTCCAGCTATTGAGCAATTTTCCTTATTCAGCAATTTTGAGTATAGCAAGCATTGCTCTAGATACTACATAATGTTACAACTCTTAGGGAGTCTACATCTACTGTCCTCAAAATTTACATATTGAAAAAATGCACAACATTCTAAAAGGATCAGAACTGTACTCACAGAAGTCCAGAATGTAAAAAGAAGGCCCAAAGACAGGTTTCTTAAGGAAAATCCAGTTTGAAATGAGAAGTTTGTGTTTGGTGCCTCCCTGAATGCAGCCCTAGGCCAACTGGGAGATAAAGTACTTGTTCCATTAAGAATGCCCATCACCCCCAGCTCAGAAATGCAGGTTCCTGTACTCTACTCTCTTCACAACCTTTTATGTTAAATGTTATCATTTTGGTGTATTTATCTCTTCAAAATATATTTAGGACAAAGCTCTATTTTCTAATATAATGTACATCACTTGGCAAACAACTAAGGAATAGATTTTACTTGTTTCCTAACAGGGAACAACTTCTGTCACAATAGTTTCCTTTCTTCCCAAAAAGGGCCCTTGGTTTAATAACAGAGTATTTTCCAGCTCTCTGAGAAGTCAGGTCTCATCCCGATCCATAGAAAAGCTCGCTCTAACAATCACACCCTACCACCTTCCCTAAAGGGGGATTTTCAGTGGGGTGTTCTGGTGCCACACATCCACCCCCATCCTCGTGGGGGACAGGATGACCCCTGTTCCTTACCAACCCTCCACTCTTATGACTTTGTAAACTGAAAGTACCTGCTGCTTTTTTTTTTTAAAGTTTATTTATTTATTTTGAGAGAGAGAGAAAGGGAAGAAGGGGCAGAGAGAGAGGGAGACAGAACCCCAAGCAGGCTCCTCACTGTCAGTGCAGAGTCTGACGTGGGGTTCAGTATCACTTTGTGAAATCATGACCTGAGCCAAAATCAAGAGTTGGACACACAACCCACTGAGCCACCCAGGCGCCCTGAAATTAAATCCTTCTTAGGAAAATGTCTAGAGAGAGGTCCTATGGTATGTCATCTGACATTAAGAAGTTAAAAGAACATGGCTCACTAATGGAAATACAATCATATGCATTTATATATGCATGTTCCAAGGTAATGTCCGTGCCAACATCGGTATTCCTTCTAGCACTTCATGACAAAACCTATATCTAATTAAAACATTTTTAAAGGACCTTTAACAATATCTACTTAATCAAGCTTCAGTGAAATGGTCATCACCTAATTCAGCATCCATTCACTTAGAATGAAGTTACAAAGTAATAAAAATTTATAGCTTTGTTTTCACTTCCATAAACACTTCTTCTTATAAGTTTGGTAAAGTATCAAAGTTTTTACTATGTTTAAGAAAAAGGAAATGTATCTTCCTCTAACAACCTGGAAAATGTTAAAATGCTGTTAAATAGATATATAGTGCTCTGTGAACTAACGAATACTTTGAAACTCTTGCTAACTAGCACCCTTTAATGATGATAGCAGTCGTAGTGGTGGTGGTGGTGGTAATGCTTGGAGGTTAATGCTTATAAAGCAAAATCACAGACTATCCCTCTCCTTTTACCTAACAGAGAAATAAAGAGAAAATTTACCAGTAGCCCCCAAACACTAAAAGGAGAACAACTTTATGCCATTAATTTTAATGTGCCAAGGAAAGAAAATTCTATGTCGTTTATTCCAGTTCCTAACCACTTGTTTCTCAAGAGGGCATTTGGAGCAGGACAGTTCTTTGTCCCATCCATATGCTGCAAGATATTTAGCATCTCTGGCCCTTAACCTGTTAATACCAGTCTCATTCCTTGTGACAACCAAAATAAAACCAGCCACACATATTTCCAGACCCTCCCTGAAAGCGCTGCAGGTCCAGAGAGAAGACACATTATTGGTTGAGAGGCATTATGCCTAATGCCATCTCTACATTCCAAATGCAAACTGAGACAAGGTGAGTCAACAAAATCCTAGTAATTCTCCAATTTGAAGAGAAGATTAAAAGACTGAGCAATCCTAATAGGTAATCCTATTAGAACTAAAAAAAGCCTCAACACTAGAAGCCCCTATTTTAAAAACAACAACAAGATCTCAAGAGAGATGAAGTTGTGCAGAATGTGTGCTCTTCCAGAATACTGTGTTGACTTGAGGGAATAAGAAGCCGTGGGTATGGCTACTTCCCTAAATGAAGGGAATGAGCCTTATAAGGACATTTAACAGGAACTTAGACAGTAGTACCCAAGAGGCTTGGATTCTATCTGACATAATCTCGGCACTCAACTCTCTGCCACCTCCATGCCATCAGGCTAAAGACATATGGAGAGAATAATATTCAGTCATCAAGCTTGTAGCACAGACAGAAAGGCAAACTTATTTCAGATGACAGAATCAAGAATTTACTCACACTAGATCAGAGCAAATAGCTGTGTTTAGACAGAGCTGTCCAATTAAATACATGTGATATGAGAAGAAATGATGAGGCAATATTGTAAACCAGGAAGAGAAAATTAAAAATATGACATATCTTTAGTATATATTACATATATATCAATATGTCAATATTACATATATTATAATATGACATATTAAGAAACTAGTCTAAGAAAAAAACATAGTCCAGGAAACAAAAGTAGATTCTCTCTCTTTTTTTTTTAAACTACATTCTCTATAAAGGGACTAAGTAACTATTTGAACCTAATAAAAGACATGATGATTAAACAATAGAATATGATAAAACAAAAGACCACAGAGCTAAGGGAAAAAGAAAAACAACTACACAAGAGCACTCACAAATCTAGTAAAAAAAAAAAAAAAAAAAAGCAGCAGCAAGAAACAGAATGGATGTGACTAAAAATTGATATAATGCTATAAAGACAATAAATCACAGAGAAGGCAGAGGGAAAAGATAAGGATATTAAAGCAATAAAATAAAAATGTATGGCTATTAAAAAGAAGCATAATTAATTATCATAAGGAAAACTGATGTCCCACTACTTGTAGAGGATCTAACAAGTAAAACAAGTAATAAGTAAATCCAACAGAAAAATGTACTCAGAGATACAGAAGAAAATTCCCTCGAAATTGAGAACTGAATCTGAAAACCATACAAATGTACCATATAAATGGCAAAAACTGGAGTGGAAGTACTGACACCGAGATACAACCTGGTTATTTTAGCAAGTCGGGGGGGTGGGGGTGAGAGAGAGAGAAAGAGAGAGAGAGAGAGAGAGAGAATGTGAGCAGGGAAAAGGAGCAAAGGGAGAAAGAGAGAATCCTAAGCAGGCTTCATGCTCAGCACAGAGCCAATGTGGGGCTTGATCCACAACCCTGGGATCATGACCTGAGCTAAAATCAGGAGTCAGATGCTCAACCTCCTGAGTCATCCAGGTGCCCCAATATTATTTTATTCATAAGAAAAGAGTTCTATCAACATTCAAGCAGGAAAAGCAAGGCACCTACAAGGAGGAAAAGGAGGCTGGCCTCAAGCATCGACAGCAGCTTTCAACCCCAGAAGACCTATCTTCAAAGTTTTGAGTAAAAGTAAACATGACCCAGAGATACGGCAGCACAATTATAGATCAAGCATAAAG